TGTAGGCTACTTCTGGCCAGGTATTTGGTCACAGAGAGCAGAGTAGCTACCCCAGAGTCTATGCATACAAACATAACACATTTCTATACTTGACATGGTCAAAACCTAGAAGTGAAGAGCAGTATACTAAATGATCCCCAGGGGAATCCTGATGGTGCAAAGGGTTGATCAACCTTGCTCTGCCAGATCAGGAAATAGTGTTAGGGAGATGTTTCTTCCAAGGCCAAAGGATAAGTAGACCTTTGCTTGGATACTGTAGGAAAATAAAACAGACATAGTTCAGAAGCTACAAAAGTGACATGGCAGAAACAGAAACACTGGGTCATATCAAGAGTGGGAGGCTGGGGAGGTGGATCAGTGGCGAGAGCATTTGCTGTGTGGCGCCCTGGCACCCAGACAAAGCTATGAGTTCTGCACTCCTACTGGGGGTTGGAGGTGGAGGTGGAGACCAGAGACGCTCAGAAGCTTGGGAGCACCTGGCCTGGTGTAAGCAGTACATTTTGTTGTTTGTCCTAAGAGCAATGGGAGCTATTCACAAGTCTGAGGAAAGGGAGAGACACGATCGGACTTAAGTTTTGAAGAATATTCTTTCTGTAGAGTGTAAAATAGAACTAGAATACAGGAAATCAGAGAAACGTCATATGGGTATGAAGTACCTAGTGGACACTAGCAGAGGTAAGTGGATTAAGTCCTTGTACAGAGATTATGTCAAGGTCTGGAGGATGGCTCAGTTGGTAGCACACTTACCTTATAAGAAGTAGGACTTGAGTTTAATTCCTCAGAGCCCAAGTTTTTTTTTTTTTTTTTTTTTTTAATTTACGTTTTTAAAGACAGGGTTTCTCTGTAGCCTTGGCTCTCCTGGAACTCACTGTAGACCAGGCTGTCATCAAAATCATAGAGATCCACCTGCCTCTGCCTCCTGTGTGCTTAAATTAAAGGTGCAGGCCATCACGGCTTGGCTGATTGTTTTTTAAAAAGCCTATTTGGCAAGTAGTTAAAAAAAAAAAAAAAAAAAGGTGGATGGCACCCAAAGACCAACAGCTGAGGTTGTTCTCTGGCGTCTGTATTGTGCACATGTAGATACATACAAAAAAAATGTTATGCTGGGCTGAGGAGATGGCTCAGAGGTTAAGCACACTGGCTGCTCATCCAAAGGTCCTGAGTTCGATTCCCAGCAACCACATGGTGGCTCATAACCATCTATAGTGAGATCTGCTGCCGTCTTCTGGTGCACAGGCAGAATGCTGTATAAATAAATCTTTGCTGGGCGTGGTGGTAATTCCAGCACTCTGGGAGGCAGAGGCAAGCAGATTGCTGTTGAGTTTGAGGCCAGCCCACTCTACAAAGTGAGTCCAGGACAGCAAAAGCTACACAGAGAAACCCTGTCTCCAAAAAAAAAAAAAAAAAAAGATTATGCCAAGAGGAGTATTAGTTATGAAACAGTAGGAAGAAAAATGGCTGGTTATACAGAGACAGACTTCTTCTGGCTATTATCCTTGGACCCAGTTATAATGAAGCACAGTGCTGTTCTTAGTTCCAGCTAAAATGTCTGTCTACTCAGCCATTTTCCTATATTGCAGAGGGCAAGGAGACCAGAAGGTCAGAAGTCTGCTCACAGCCTGCATATCTTCCACCCTGCCCAGATTCTAGGACACTCTGAGGTGTTGATTATGTCACTATTTCTAGGAACACAGTATATGTATGAACTTACGAATTTACCTTAAACACATCACGTATACGCATAGAATCATTTTCAGGACTGTGAAAATCCTATATTTAAACTTGGCCTTTCAGATCAGTGTGAGAGTGGATTTGCCTATTTGTCTTAGTTGCTACCCTATGGCTGTGAAGAGGTATCATGACCAAGACAACCTTTTAAAGGAAAGCACTTAATTGGGGGCTTGCTTACAGTTTCCGAGGGTTAGTCCACTATTATAATGACAGGAAGCAGACAAGCATGGTGCTGGAGCAGTAGCTGAGAGCTTTACATTCTGATCCTAAGAAGGGCAGCAGGTAAAGAGAGACTGGGCCTGGCATGGGCTTTTGAAACTGAAAAGTCCACTCCCAATGACACACCTAACAAGGCCATGCCCTATAATCCTACCCAAATAGTTTGAGGACCAAGCTCTCAAACACACACGCCTGTGGGCGTCATTCTTACTTAAACTGCCATAGTCTTTTACATGCGTTTGTTATTTTGATTTATAAGGGTACATGGGCCTCCACCACCGTATTCTTGCTCAGATTCATCAAGTTTAGGCACAGGCCTGTTAGTATTATGGGGCAAGAAATAATAACTTCTCACATGACAGTACTCTTTAGTCTTACGGTCAGATTTTTCTAAGTTTCATCATGTAGGAGATGAGTGGAACAAATTTCCTGGCAGGACATTGGTTGATTTAAAAAAAAAAAAAAAAAAAAAAAAAAAAAAAAAAAGGCACTCTTCTTTTTAGGGTTAGTAGTTACAAAAATTATTTTGAGGTTTGGAGAGATGGTCAGTGGTTAAGGGCACTTGCTGCCTTTGCAGAGGACATGGATTTGTTTCCCAGCAAGGTAGCTCACGACTGTCTAGAACTCCAATTCCAGGGAATCCGATGCTCTCCTTTGGCTTGCATAGGCTCTAGACAGATATGTCTAGAGCACACATATGCACACATATGCATGCAGGCAAACAATGGCACGCATACAATCAAGATGCAATATTTAACAGCGTACTTTACTTCGGTGTTTTAGACAGGTGGCCTCCCAGTTGGCCTGGACTCATTATGTAGTTGGTTGAGGGTCGCCCTGAACTTCTGACCCTCCTGCCTTTACCTTTCATATGCTGGGATCACAGAACTATAGCACCATGTCTGACGAGGAATTATTATTCCAATTGTTGTTGTTTCTCGAGACGGTTTCTCTGTGTAGCTTTGCATGTCCTAGACTCACTCTGTAGACCAGGCTGGCCTAGAACTCACAGAGATACACCTGCTTCTGCCTCCCTGAGTGCTGAGGCCTTTGACACTACGCCTGACTGTGAGAAGTTTTAGTTACAATGGTTTCAATGCGGTTTTGCAAAACTTCAAAGTGACAGATAAGGGATACAGTAACCATGCAGTCAAGCTTCACTCATTTAACACCTAAGGCAACAGAGATGTTTCTTCGAGAGAGGCCTGACTAGAATCACAAGGCTGCTGAGTAGGTGATCCTATTTTCTCTCCTACTGCCAGCCCATTTCAGCTGTTGCTCTCTCACTGCTAGGAACTGAGAGTATTTTGATACTTAATATTTGAGATGCATACAAATAGAGTTGTGTATTTGTTTAGTAGATCATTAAGCAGTCATTCCTTCCTGGACACACTCTCCCTTGTCCCAAGCAAATGTTTTCCAAAAGAGAGAAAACAAAACAAAACAAAATTTAAAAAGATCATTAGGCCAACTGATACTGTTCATAGAACTTAAAGGTTGTTGTGATAATCTACAGAAGTAAAAGAAATACTTTTCATTTTATTTTCTTATTTACCGTTTATAGTTTCATTATGACATTTTCATACATGTATATACTCATGTTTGCTCATATTCATTCCACTTCTCTCTCATTCCCTTCCTGTTGATGGCCCCTCTCCTTTCTCCAAATAGTCCCTGTCTGCTTTCATGCCATATACATAGCCATTCCCCATGTGTGAGGGGACATGAGATAACTTTCTTCCCCTCATCACCTTTCTTATTCCCATCTCCCCTTCTACTTTTATACACATTAGAGAAAATACGCAAAATCTCTCTTTCTGGGTCTGGCTTTAGGAAATATTCTTTTTATTAACAATATTGTTCTGAAAACCAAAAACTGAGGTTGGGTGCTGTGGTGCATACCTTTAATCCCAGCACTGGGGGAGGAGGTGAAGGCACAGGCAGGTAGGTATTTGTGAGTTTTGAGGCCAGCCTGGTCTACAGGACAGCCAAGAGACTCTGACTCAAAAAGCCACACCAACCAACCAAACTAAAAAATGTAGTTATAACGACATTAATACTTGATGTGTCCCTCTGATCAAGTCCTAAGGAAGTGGGATGGGAGTAAAAAAAATGGATAACAAATTATTCCAATTTCCTGAGGTCAGTAGAATATTCCTGAAAGCCAACTGTTAACTGTTTGCAGAAATGTTCCTCTTAGGGATCTTATAATTTCTTAGGCGAATGTTATCTTTACATCCAGCCCTCTGACATTCTGATGACAAACAAGATCTAAGAGTTAAAGGCATGCTCGTGTCTAAGTCTTCAACTATGTTTTATTTAACCCGTCCTCTCCCCGCAAATTCCTTCTCTTTTCAGATAAAAGTCAGAGCACATGCTTGGCCAACTCTCACAGCGCTAACTCTCACATACAGAAACCTAACTGGATCTAAAAACATTTGTAAACACCGCTAACGGAATTTTCCTGGCGAGTTTAAGGCATAATGAGAATTAAAACCTTTAGCACTCAAGCTCAAACACTGTGTGTGCGCGCGCGTCGGGGGGAGGTTATCTGCACGCTCGGGAGTGATCCAAGGTCCAGCTCTGCAGGAAACTCTGTGAAAGCACTAACATTTACAACCTGGGTTCAAATTAAGTCACCTTTTCACAAGTTTACCCCTTGCAATCAATCGGATTCTCCACAATTTTTTCTCCGGGATGGGCAACGACAGGACCCGGTTTTTAGAGCGTGCAGAGGGACCCCAGGCACCCCACGGTAAAAAAGAGAGAGAGAGCGGCACAACTAAGGCCACGTCCCTGGGGCGGACGGCAGCGCTACCTCGGTTGTGACTTCGGGGCTCTCCAGCGACCGTCGGAAGACCCTCCCTTCACGGCAACCCGGCCATCCGCCGCGCCGAAGACCTCTGACCTCTCCGAAGGCCCGCTTGGTAATCCCACCCCGCCGACTTAGGCCCGTGCCTCTGATTGGTGAGTTCAAGGATCCCTCAGCTTAGCTCGTCCAATGGAGGCTCGGCCGAGACCTGGGGGCCCCGCCCCGTGCCCCGCGCCGGGGAGCGTCGGAGAGTAAATACAACAGGAGCGCAAAATGGCGGAGCCGCCGAACCCAGCTCGCGGCCCCGTGGCCGTCCTCTCGGAGAAGGAAGCGTTCGGCAAACTGCAGCCTTCCTCGCGGGAGCCGCCGGGCCCCGTGTCCGCCAAGAAGGTCCGGACCGAGGAGAAGAAGGCGCCGCGGAGAGTGAACGGGGAAGGGGGCAGCGGCGGGAACGGCCGGCAGCCGCAGCCGCCCGCCGCACCGTCGCCGCAGGGCTACGGCAGCCCGGCGGCTTGGAGCTTCGCGGCTCTGGCCGCCGCCTCCTCCGCGGCCCCTCCCCGGAGCTGCTTCTCCTTCCCCGCGAGCCCCGCCGCCTCGTCGGCCCCCGCGTGCCCGGCTCAGCCGCTGCCGCGCAAGCCGCTGGTCGCCCCGTCGCTGCTGCACGCGCAGCCTCCGCGCGTCCCGCTCCCGCCGGCCGCCGCCAAGCCGCGCAGACCCAAGGAGAAGCGCGACAAGGAGAAGCGGAGGCACGGCCTCGGCGGCGCCGCCCGCGACGAGAACGTGGAGGCGAAACCGCCGCCGCCGCCGCCGCCGCGAGGTGGGTGCCGCGGGGGAGGGGAGCGGCCGCGCGGGCCAGCCCGCGGGGAGCGAGCGGGAGGCAGCGGCGGCAGCTCCGGGGCGCGCGGGGAGAATCCTGCCACCCCCCCATGTGGGTGGCCGGAGTGTTTTGGCTTAAGCTGGAAGCCCCTGGGGAAGTGAGGTCGCGTGCGGGGCACCGAGTGTGCAGCTCCTAAGGTGCCCACCGTCCGAATTCGTGAAGTGTTCCCCGAGGGGTCCTGTTTCAGATACTACCCTTCAGGAGCGTGCAGCCATATCCCCCCCCCCCCACCCCCCATGCAGCAAATGATAAAATCAGATGTTTTGACGGTGTTTTTTTTTTTTTTGGACAGATCAAGTGGCTGCAAAGTCCTTCCGCATTAAAAAAAAAAAAAAGGGGGGGGGGAAATTTCCCAAATGTCCTATTCTAGTTTTCTTCTGTAATGCAAGCTAGTATAGGTTTCGGTATTTCTTCAAGATAAGGGGTCGTTCTAAATAATCTGTGGATACGTTGAGCTCTGACGTGCAGAGTGGAGGGGTTGGAAAGTAGATTTTTCTGTGATCACGAGGTTATATAAACATACATTGTCACTGTCACACATTGTTGTGAAGTATTCTGTTTTGTTTTGGAATGCTGGTGAAATGCCAAGCGCTTTCAGCCTTGCTGATCCAGTGGTATCTTAGAGCTTGAAAAATTATCTGAATAGGAGGGGTTATTTTTCACAATTTAAAAAAAGAGTGCTATTACACGAAACTGTGTAATTTCTACATTTAAGCCGAGTTAATGGTCTGGTCCTACCCTAGTCTAACGCTGTCCTAGGGTTTTTAGAGTGTTGCCTTAGGAATATTTTGAAGATGAATTATATTTTCCTTCTGCGCAGAGTTATAGGTAGTTAGTGAATCTCTGTGTAGCAGTGATTAAATACAAAACTTAAGTTACAAAATGCTTCTGAGCCCGTCCCTATGCAGTTTGGAATCAAACTTGGGTAGGCTGCTCATTTACTTTTCATGAATTCCCTGCAGAAGTGAATGTAGGTATTACATTGTAGAGGATGTGAACGGTGAAAAGAAATACGTATTCTAAGAAATAGTACTGGCCTAAAATATGTGGTATGAATATGACTATTGTAGTAAGATGGGTGTTTAAGTTAAGTTTTTATAGTCTCAAATGACATTTAAAATCTTCTTTTGGGGAATTTGAGGTGGTTCAGGCACTTGCTGTGTAGCATGACCACCTGAGTTCTATCCCCAGGACCCACAGATGGAGAGAACCAGTTCCCCACAGGGTGCCCGCCAAAGGCCAGAGGCCCTCTGTGACATCAGTGTACCCCCAAATTAATGTAGTAATCCCCAAACCTAAACCCCTTCTTTTGAGGGCGATGGCTTACTTTTAATATAAGCAATGATACACGCTCTGATGTGGCAAAGATATTTCCCATGACCTATGTGGGATGATTAGATTGTTGACCTTTTGTTTGTTTGTTTTTAAAACAGGGTTTCTCTGTGTAGCCCAGGCTGTCCTGGAACTCACTCTGTAGACCAGGCTGGCCTCAAGGGATCTGCCTGCCCCCTGAGTTCTGGGATTAGAGGCATGGGCCATCACACCTGGCTAGGTAGTCACTGTCAACTTTAAATATTTTCATTTTTTGGACAGAAACACTTATTTTATTGAGAAAAAAAATCAAGGCAAAAGATAGCTGTTCAGTATTTTGGTGGACTCCAGAGTTTTGAATTTAACTGAAATTGGGTTTTGCTTTAACTGAAAAAAAAAAAAAAAAAAAAAAGTGATAGCAAAGTAACAAGATTTTAGATACATTGTTTCGTTAGTACAGTTGCAAATATACAGGTACTGTTTATAGTACAGTGTTTATTTTTCTGTCCCTTTTTTTTTTTTTAACAAATCTTAGTGAATGAGTGACCAAGTGTTTGAAGTATATACTTTTTAAGTGACCTTCTGAGTTGGTTGTGTTAGCTCACTAACCCTTGATTACCCATAGCGCATCGATTGAACAGGCTTAGTACTAGAAACCAGGCAGAAAGACATTTTAGAAAAACACCACAGTCCTGGTGGCGGTGGCACAGGCCTTTAATCCCAGCATTTAGGAGATGGAACCAGGTGGATCTCTGAGTTCAAGGCCAGGGTAGTTTACAGAGCGAGTTCCAGGACAGCCATGGCTACCCCCCCCCCCACAAAAAAAAGAAATATAAATCACAGTTCTGCATCTCTACTAAACATTTGCTTCTGTATTTACATAGGGGTTTTTAAAATCCTTAGAAGTGCTTTTTTGTTTTTTGTTTTTGTTATGTTGTTTTGAGAAAGGGTGTCCCTTTGTGCTCCAGCTGGCTAACTCACTATGTAGAACAATCTGGCCTCCACGTGTGTTCTTTGTGCCTCAGCCTTTTCAGTGCTGGGATTACAGGTGTGCGCCACATTTGGCTAGAGCCCTTTTACGCTGGCACTCAACCTAATGGAGAACATTCAGATAAAATAAATGTGTTTTTGAGACAACATTTAGTGAACGTTGAGTCTGAAGCACGGTTACTTATTTTCCTAACCTCACAGTTAAGTTAAAGGTAGGTCAGCCGTAACCCACCTTCACAGCTAGGGATAAGTAAGCAGATCAAAATAGTTCCTAGTCTAGGCACCTTGAGTACAGAGCTGATGTGCTTTGCACCTATAATCTCCAAGGCTGCCTGCTGATAGTTGTAGGTGTTATGTGGACTCTTGAGGGTTTAAATTAAAGAGTGTTGTGTAGATCAGGCCTTGAATCAGCTGTGATCTCCCTCCTAAGAATGCTTAGTGCTGAGATTGCAGACAAGGGCCACTATGTCTGAATGGATTCCCCTCCCCCCCCATCTAGACAGGGTTTCTCTATGCTAGAACTCACTCTTTAGACCAGGCTGGCCTCAAACTCAAGAGATGTGCCAGCATCTGCCTAAAGGCGTGTCGTGTTACCCCCTTCTGACTGAATTTTTAAAGGTACAAAACAACCAGATGAGCTAATAAGTTTTTCTATAACATAAAATAAATTATGACTTGAAAAGTATAGAGCTAGGCAGTGATGATGCATGCCTTTAATCTGAGCGTTTGCTAGGGAGCCAGGGGATTTGGGGGCCTAGGCCAGTCTGAGCTACCTAGTGAGACTCTTTGCTTAAAAAAAAAAGTGGAAAGTGAAAAGATAGACTGAAGGTATCATGTGCTTTCATACGATTCAAGAGTGAATTTTCTGTGTCTGCATGTGGTACGTGTGTGGTGCATTGCCCAGGCAGAGCCAGAGCAGGACTTCAGTCTTTATTGCTCTCTACATTACTGCATCGTGATTGGGCCGCTCACAGAACCAGAAAACAGGTCTGTGGCTAAGCTGTCAGGCCTTAGCACCCTAGGGATCCACCCATCTGCCCCCTAAAGCTGGGGCAAGGGTCACAGTCAGCCCTGCCTGGCTTTTCACATAGGTGCTGGGCATTTGAACCCAAGTCCGCACGGCCGAGCAGCAAGCTGTCGTGCCCACTGAACCCCGTGTTAGAGGTTGGTTTTCATCATGATTGGTACTGCTGAGAGATAATAGTTCACAAAGATTGTGTTTTGGGATAATCATTTGTATTTTGTGCCGCCCCGTAAAGCCTTCCTATACCCTCCAGCAGCAATTAGTAAAATTTCTCGTGTTGGTAAATCTTCCAGATAAATGACAGTCTCCTCTGTACATCTTCCTGATTTAGTCCGGATGCTTCGTCTTAAAGGCCTGCTGCATAAAGCCATCCGCCATGGGCCTTGGGCTCACTCACATCCTGGAAGTCCTTTCATTGCTGTTGTGTTCCTTTTTTCTGGACCCCATGTCTTTATTTACTCTCCTTTTCATATTTTTCTACTAGCAAGGATTATGTAGAAACTGTACTTCTTTGGATTTTATTTTTGCCCCGACACTTGCCTGTTTATCTGTTGAGAGGTTTTTCTCAAGCTGTTTGCCCTGGAAAGTTTGAAGAGGGTGTTCTGTTATTGTCTGCCTTCTGATGTTGATATTCAGAGAAATTGTTCTCTAAAAAGTTGTCTATTCTATTTTGAGGTATTTCAGCCCTTTCACTGGTTTTTAAATTTCCAGCTTTGAAGTGAAAAAGAAAGTATAAGCTCTTGTGTTTTTGTTCCTGTATTGTAAGATATATATATATATATATTTTAAAATGGGGTCAGCATCTCTGTTGTTTCTTCAAGGATGCTAATTATAGTTTCTTTGAAATGTTCTGTTTCCTGCCTTGCTTTTGGTTCCTCTAACTTTTTTTCCTGTTTGTTTTGGTCTCATTTATTTGGAGGCTGTCCTTAAATCTGTTATTTTTAGCAGTTCTCTCATACTTAAGAGAAAGTTACCAAGATTCACTGAAAGCTCCTGAGCATGCAGGGCAGGCCTTACTGACTGAGCTCATGCCTCGCTCTGGTCTGTGTTTTTTGGGTTAGGCACTCTAAGCCTCTTCAAACTGAACGTCATTTTTGTCTCATTTGGATCAGAGGCTAGACAGGATGGTGTCTTACTCACTGTGGTTGTCATAGCAAAGCATCCTAGCCTGGGTGGCCTGGCGTGCAGAAGTTAATGTCTTCACATCCTGGAAGCCCGAGGTCAGCTGCAGTCCCGACATGCTGCAGTTCTGCAGATGTCTGCCTCCTCAGCGGTGCACTTCACAAGGCCTTTCTTAGGCCCGCGTTCTTTTGGGGACAGGCAGGGAGACCTCTTCATGGAAGGCCCTAGTCTCACCTGATTGACTCCTCTATTTGTGACTTGTTACTCCTCACTCCTAGAAGCCCAGGCTCTCGCTGCAGTCAGCTGGAGGTAATGCCCCACAGAGCTGAGTGTCGGTGGCAGGGTTCTAGTGATTGCTGAGAGAAGAAAGACACAGGCCTTGCTTCAGGAATTCACCCAGCTTCCCTGTTTTCATCTCAACCCACCCGTGTCTCTGTGGGAAGGCCCGAGCCTGGAGCAGTCTTACTGAAATTTTGCTAGAGAATTTGAACCT